CAAAAACCAACCATGGTTTTCGTCTTTCCAGGAATCAATTCAACATCATACTTCAAATTTCTGCCCAACCATCCCAAAATTAAAATAAAAAATTAAGATCATGTACAACGCATATTCTATTTAGTGTTTATTTTTTAAAATATAATAAAAATAGAATTCTACTCACTAAAATTATGTTGTAAAAAAAATTTATTATCTATATAGAATATATTTTATTTTATTTTTAAAATTAAAAATTGCCTTACAAAAAAATTAAAGGGCTGCAGCGCCTATCACAATGCCAGGCGCTGTAGCCACAGTTTCGATCCAATGGCTTTTTGTCGTTGGATTCAACATTTCTTGTTCTTTTTTCTTCTTCTTCATCTTTTTCTTTTTTTTATTAATTAAAATTTTTTTATTTGAATATAAAAAAAAATAAAATAAAATAATATTAATGTGAATTTAAGAAAACCTTAAATATTAGAGAAGAAGTATTTTATTAGTTATTCTATTTAAGAGTTTTTTTTTTTGAGGAAGGTATTCTATTTAAGAGTTAAATATATAAAAATAATATCAATTATGATGATAGGATACTTGAATAAATTCTTTAATTTTTCTCTATTAAACATGCTCTTAAAAAGGCAAAAAGGTCAAGGTATATATTTTCAATATTGTTGTCTTCTCTAATACTAGGTTCTAAGGAAGCAGGATTCGGTATTGATCTAATCTCGAGGGGAAGAATTCGGAGTAGAGGTACAAATAAAGATGTTAATTTTATATTTTTTTATTTAAAGATATTAATTTTGTTAGTTTTTAAATAAAAATATTAATTTTTAATTTTTTTATTTAAAAATATCAACTTTCAACTTTCAACTTTCAACTTTTTTTTTTTCATTTAAAAATATCAACTTTTAACATTTTAGTTAAAAAATAAGTTTATCGCATTAGCATCACCATCCAATTAAACTTGAAATAGAAAAAGTTGAAATTTTATATTCTTAAATTAAAAAAAAGTTAACAATTAATACTTTTAAATAAAAAAAATTAAAAATTGACATATTTATTTAAAAATTGATAAAATTAATATCTTTAAAAAAAATATAAAGTTGGCATTTTTTTCTGCATCTTTTCTTGAAGAACTCATAAAACTAAAATGTATTATATTCACAAATTAGATAAAAATAAATTTTTAAATCTACTTTAAATCAATTCAAGTTCTTAAAAATTTCATAATTAAGAAAAATTAAAAAAAAAAAAAGTTAGTTGAACTTAGCTTCCTGCCTCCATATATATATGCAATGTGCTTATGAAACCTAACTGTACTTTTCAACTATTTTGTTCATTTATTTAATAATTAAATCCCAAATTCTGTTTATTTTACAATTTATTAATATTTTGATTAGGGAAAAATAATCCCATTGGTTACATTTCAAGAGCTGTTATTAATTAGATACTGTGATCTATAAATTTTTTCAGAAAGAACATGTTGAATAATAAAGATTTATTTCGCCTTTAGACATTTTTTTTTTTATAAAAGCTTATTTTGGGATGTGTTGGAAATATGATGTTGAACAGATTTATTTACACTTGAGACATGGAAATCATGTTGAGAATTAGTATTATTTTCCTGTCATAGGATTATTTTTTCTTTTTATTTCTTGTTTTAATTTTTTAAAAAAGTAAATCTAGTTAAAAGGGAAAGAACTAATTCTCATTGACATTTGAAAGTATATGGACTAAACTATAATTTAACCATTTTCTTGACTGCCGTGAATCGATTTTTTACCGAAGCTAGCGGAACCGTTAATTAAGGATTTCTCTCAACGTTTAAATACTGTAGTTTTCTTTTTGAATAGGTACAATTTTGGGAGAGTAGGTGGTTGGAAAATTTTAATGCGATAATGTTATGACTTAATTTTGATCATTATTAAGATATTGAATATATCAAATAATTAATTTATGAGATCTGGTGCGTTTATATACTGTAGTTAAAGGCTTATAAATCTAAAAAATAGTTTAGGGACTTTTGTCCAAAAATAGGGTAAATTTAGGGGTTAAGATTTGCCGTTATAACATTAATGTGCAACTAAAATTAAAAATTATATATCTCAATAAAATAAAATAAAATAAAAATCATTGGCTATCTAAAAAAACAAATCAACAAATCTTACATACAATATTTCCATGATTGGTTAAAAGAGAAGGAATTTTCTGGAACCACTAATATCTCCGAGAATTGAAAGCCATTTTTCAAACCTTCCCCGTCTTCACGTTGCACAACAGTAGCACAAGACCTGTAAAAGCTATATCACTATTATGGTGGGGCAAAAGGACAATGAAAGCATTAATTAAATTGACTTTAAGGACCAAAAAAACATCAAAGTCGCCAACGCGCTTGAGTGATATTGATCGAAATACAAAAATTGGTTGCTTTAATTACGTTTTCGAAATATTTATCTTTAGTGTAACTTCTGGAAAACGTGTTTAACTTGCGTTTCCGTGCGACTATATATTAATGGGCAACCAAAATTAAAAACCACATCCATCTTCCACACAACAATATTGAAACCATAATCATGAGGGAAACTTTCCATGCTATGCTTGTTCTAGTGGCCGTATTGTTCTTTGGGGCTGCAGAGTTCTGTTCCGGTCGGAACACGAGCTTCAGCTGTATAGAGGGGGAGAGAGAATCCCTCTTGAAGTTCAAACTTTGTTTCAATGATTTATCTAATATGTTGTCTTCTTGGAAAGGCAATGACTGTTGTGAATGGAGAGGAGTAGGCTGTGACAAAAATAGCGGACATGTTGTCTCGCTTCAACTCAGGGGATCTATATATGATCAACCTCAATTGTACTTGATTGATGATGTAGAGGAGGTTGTTTCAAATTTGCTCAAGTTGAGATACTTGGAACACCTGGACTTGAGCGGAAATGACGTCAACAGCAGCCTTATTCCGCCCTCCTTTGGTTTGATGAAGCAACTAAGGTACTTAAATCTCTCTTCTATGAACTTCAAAGGAAGAATTCCAAGTGAACTCGGAAATCTTACGAGACTTCGTGTTCTTGATCTTGTTGATTATTATGGCGGAGCGTTGAAGGTTGATGATGACATTCAGTGGATTTCTCATCTCTCTGCTGTGCAAAAACTTGGTATGAGTGGAGTAAATTTAAGCCATGCCTCATCAAACTTGTTCCAGGTATTCGGCATGCTTTCTTCATTATCATGGTTGAGCTTGTCAGATTGTGGTCTAAAAAATTCTCACCTAACATCTCATAGTCATCTCCTTAATCTTACATTTCTTGAAAATATTCAGCACTTAGATATTTCAAGAAACTCTTTTCATGGTTCAATACCTATTTTTCTCCAAAACATGACTTCATTGACATTTCTTGATATGAGTGGAGTAAATCTAAGCCTTGCACCATCAAACTTGTTTCAAGTACTTGGCATGCTTCCTTCACTATCATGGTTAAGTCTGTCAGATTGTAGTCTAAAAAATTCTCACTTGCCATCTCACAGCAATCCCCTTAATTTTACATTTCTTGAAAATATTCAGCACTTTGATATTTCACATAACTCTTTTCATGGTCCAGTACCTATTTTTCTCCAAAACATGACTTCATTGACAGTTCTTTCTCTTTTGTACAATCAATTGAGTGGGAGTATTCCAGATAGTATCAAACAACTTTCTAAGTTAGAGAGTATAGATCTTTCTGGTAATCAATTGAATGGAAGTATTCCAGATAGCATTGGTCAACTTTCTAAGTTAGAGAGCATGTATCTTTCTGGGAATCAATTGAGTGGGAGTATTCCATATAGCATGGGGCAACTTTCTAAGTTAGAGAGTATGGATCTTTCTCACAATCAATTGAGTGGGAGTATTCCAGATAGCATTGGCCAACTTTCTAAGTTAGAGAGTATGGATCTTTCTCTCAATAAATTGAGTGGGAGTATTCCAGGTAGCATTGGGCAACTTTCTAAGTTAGAGAGCATATATCTTTATAGTAATCATTTGAATGGGAGTATTCCAGATAGCATCAGCCAACTTTCTAAGTTAGAGAGCATATATCTTTTTGACAATCAATTGAGTGGGAGTATTCTAAATAGCATTGGGCAACTTTCCAAGTTAGGGATCATTGATCTTTCTCACAATCAGTTGAGTGGGAGTATTCCAGATAGCATCGGGCAACTTTCTGAGTTAGGGAGCATATATCTTAATGGTAATCAATTGAGTGGGAGTATTCCAGATAGCATTGGGCAACTTTCTGAGCTAAGGAGCATATATCTTTACGACAATCAATTGAATGGCAGTATTCCAGATAGCATCGGACAACTTTCTAAGTTAGAGGTCATACATCTTTGTTGCAATCAATTGAGTGGGAGTATTCCAAATAGCATTGGTCAACTTTCTAACCTGCGGTATTTGAGATTTTCTTCAAATAAATTGAATGGGGTACTTCCAAATAGTATTAATAAACTTTCCAACTTGAAAGCCTTGCTTGTTTCACATAATTCTTTGGAAGGTGTCATTTCAGAAGCTCACTTTGCAAACCTATTCAAGTTGATAGTTTTAGACATTGGGTCTAACAACTTGAATTGTGAGATGAAATATAACTGGAGACCTCCCCTTGACCTTGCATATATCTACATGGGATCTTGCAAATTTGGAACAGGGTTTCCTGAATGGCTTTCATTGCTCAAGACAATAAGCCTGATTGATCTCTCTAATGCCAGCATCTCAGGTCCTCTTCCAGAAAGCATCGGATATATGTTGCCAAAGCTGCAAGGATTATTTCTTACAGATAACCTCCTAAACGGTTCGATTCCAAAGTCATTGTGCAATTCAAAATATTTGTTATTTCTTGATCTCTCCAAAAATATGTTTTTTGGAAGTATTCCTAATTGTTGGAAAAATGATCAATCATTCAATTTTATTGATCTATCTTCTAACAATCTTTCGGGTTTATTTCCAAATACAATGTGGCAGTTTTCTTCTTTATATGTATTGCACTTGAGCAATAATAGTCTCCATGGGGAACTACATGTGGAGTTGAAAAACCTCACTTCTTTAATGATTTTGGATTTGGGTGAAAATAAATTTTCTGGAAATTTAGCCAGCATTGTTGGGGGTGAGATCGACAACCATGGTTTAAAAGTTCTCCGACTACGAGGAAATTTGGTTTCTGGTTATATTCCTTTGGAACTGTGCTCTTTCTCTCAATTGCGAATTCTAGATCTTGCAGAAAACAATCTGACAGGAAGAATTCCTCATTGTTTTACAAATTTTTCAACTATGGTGAATGCAACATCAATGGACACAGTCAACAATGCTATATATTCGGATCAGACTTATTTGATGGAGGTTGTGAAAGGGAGATACCTTGAATATAAAAGAAAAACATTGGCACTCCAGATTAGTATAGATCTTTCGAGTAACAATCTAATAGGACCTATACCAGAGGAGGTCATTTTCCTTAAGTATTTGCACAGTTTGAATCTTTCTTACAATCATCTCTCAGGAAAGATCCCTGAGAAAATTGGACAAATGGAGAATTTGGAATCTCTTGATTTCTCCCAAAACGGCCTCTCAGGAATGATCCCAAATAGCATGTCAAGTTTAACCAAGTTAAGCCATCTTAACTTGTCTTACAACAACTTGTCAGGACCAATTCCAACTGGCTATCAGCTCCAAACACTCGAAGATCCATTCATATACATTGGCAATCCTCAACTTTGTGGAGCTCCACTCTTGAAGAATTGCTCAAATGATGCACTACCTCCGACAACTACCAACTTCAAGGACAACGATGATGATGCACTTAAAAGAATGTGGTTTTACATTATTGTGATGTCAGGCTTTGCAATTGGATTTTGGGGAGTTGTGGGAACTTTGATTTTGGTGAAAAGTTGGAGATATGCATATTTTCAATGGGTGGATGATGTCAAACATTGGATACTTGTGGTTATAACATTGAAGGTGGCACGATTCAAGAAGATGTTCAATGGCAACCTAGATGATTAGTGAGTTATATGTGGAGTATATTGTTGTTGCTACATTTATTATTAAACTAGTTGAACAACCTTGCATTGTAGGGTATGGTGTCAAGTTCAACTTTGAATGGCCCAACATTGAATAGGCCTATTTTAAATGAACACATAAGTATTATAGTTTGTAAAGTTTTCAATAATATAGCATACACTGTAGTTCTATATATTTCACAAAAATAAAAATTCATAGATTCAGACAGAAATAGAGAATTCAACGTAAGGCTTTCAAATTGCATGGATTTCTATCTTTCCAATTTTGTTAAAAAAAGAAAGTTAAAAAAAGAAAGCAAGAGATGAAATAATGAGATAGGAAGAATGGCTCAACTGAGTATACAATAATAGCCAAAATAAATTTCTCACATGTTAATCGTCAAAGTTCGGAACTTTCAATCATACGCAATCAAATCACTCAATTGAGTATCCAATACAATGCAACTTTTACATCAAATTCCAATGTCTTCAATATTTCCTAAAACACATTTTCACGTTGCATAAGGCATATCAACCACATACTCATAAAATAATGCCAAGGCTAAATAGTGAAGTCCATTATGTTAGTTTAACCCTGGATAGCTAATTGATTCTAGCAACAAAAAATGAAACAGAATTATTTATTTGTTGTTTTTAATTTTATGTTAGCACTCTTGATATACAACAAGCCTAAAAGCTGAAGCACACAATGCAAAAGACCTTGGACAAACTTCAAGAATAAAAAGAATATCCACAAAAGGATAAGAATTAATACCTCCAACTGCAGCCTCATTATTTAGCCTTGCCTTTTTCCCAACAAACCATCTTTGGATAAAGCCACTAAAAAAGAGTATATTTAAGTGAGAAAAATATATAGATAATTCTTATCCTTTCCATGCGGAAGATGGCATTGGTATATTTTGTAATACTAAAATAAAATATAAGGGCGGTGTTTTTGTGGCCAAACCTTGAGTCTTCTTCATCCTACACACTCGTGAAGGTGTAGATGCCACCATTGTAGTTATGAATTGACTAACATGTTTTCAACTTGTGAAAGGAAGTATATTAAGAAAATTATACAACTAAAACTATAGGAAACCTATGAGATAAGATTGTAGGTCTCCATCATATACATGATAACATAATACATGTGTAGCTAAATTGTATAGCAAATCTTACTGCCTAGACAATATTCCCAAAGTAAACAACTCTCACTTCATATTTTATTTCCATTCCCATCTGTATTACTAATAGAAGAATATGAGATTTTAAGTTCCAAAGTCTAAAATTCAAAAGTTTGAAACAAACTAAAAGGGTGAAAAGAGATAAGAAAATGAGAAATAAGTATCGCCTTTGGTATTAAAGGAGAAGAAGAAGAAGAAGAAGAAGAAGAAGAAGAAGAAGAAGAAGAAGAAGAAGAAGAAGAAGAAGAAGAAGAAGA